TACATTTCATATAGAAACGCCACTTCGACCAAGTATCCTCACCTTGTGAGAGCCGCAGATAACACGAAGTTGATATCGCTTATACTTTCGTGGAGACAGCGCTGTCCCATCGATCATCTTCTTTGAACATTACCCAGTATTTGATTTAACTCCAGTAGCGACGATAACCTTGTTTTTGAAAAACCTGGGCACACTCTCACTCTTGTTTAGCTTGAGGAACTTTGAGCTTTTGGAAGCCCACTGGACACTCCAATGCGCTGTCAAAATAGCTCTATTCCATGTTTATTTTATTCTCGTATACAAAAAAGGATGGCGTGATTGTGTTCCATTGCGCTCGAAGAAGCTCATTTTGTTGAGAGAGGCGTTATAGTCCTTTGTAAACTGGTTCGAGCAATCGAAGAACATCGTGAATTTTTCCACAAGCATTCGTGATATAAGTGGAAAGTTGTGGATATCCCGAAAGGCACATCATCTGTCTTTTAGATCGAACACTGGTTCTTGTGTAATATCTCCCGTAACCTCTTCTTACATTATGACAAGCTCGATACATTTTATGGAGCGAGTCATCCATGGATTTATAGCCTGTGTCACAACTTGAAATAATGAGCTACATGCATGAAAAGTAATGAATAGAAGGTATAAAAACATTATGTGACTCGCTTCAATTTATTTCAGCTTTCAGCAAATGTTTTGCTCTTTTTCATTCTCGAGCAATATTTGTTTTTGCGGTAAAGGAGATAAAATGAGTATAGCTGCAAAGTGAGAACTAAATGGTTGCGATGTTTTAACATTTCAAAGCTAATGACAGCGTGGTAACGTGGTAGCAAAACTCATAGGAACTAATGCTTTAGCAGCAGTACATTTCAAGGAGACTGTGCATGCTACTAGAGTTCAAACACTTGCTTTATCATTGTTCGAAGTTATCAAATTATCACAACATTTATTATCAAAAACATTCTCGACTGTCAGGGCGGCTCGGCACATAAATATCCACAAAGTCTGCTCGTTCTAGGCATCGTATGTAGAGCGTTTCCCGAGGGACTGCCCGGCCAGACTGTCAAAGTACCTAGGAGAAAACTTGTAAGTGCGAGGATAATTCACTTTCATCCTTATTGGAAACACAAGGCAAAAACTGCGCCTGTTGATTGCTAAGGAAAATGAGCAGTATTCTAATAGGCAAACCTTTTTTCAAAACGGAGATATGGTTGATATGCTCTTTTTCCAATGGAGTCCATGAAAGGATTGAGAGCCCGCTTGCCCATTGAGTCTAAGAACGGATTGATCGCCCTCTTTGCTCTCTGTAATAAAGCAGTCAAAGATCTGATGTTGTTTCAGGGAATTTTATAAGACTCACATTATCAGCATATGTTGTGAAGACCAAGGAGACGAGCATTAGCAATGATAGGAAAGCCGCCTTTAGCATCTCTGGCCGTTATTACTAGAATGTGCTCCGCACTTGATAAGAGAAAGTTTCAGAAAACGCACGAAAACGAACAAGACAACCAGAATGATTCACAGAATAGACAGGCATTGCCTGAGAGATGGGTTTATTCCTAACGTGGTTCGAAGGGAATTGGAACAAAAGACGTCAAGGTGTAAAGATGACGAATGATCCTAATGACGCATATTCTGCCGTCGTATCTACTCATGACTTCTACCCGAATGAGCTCCTCTAACACTTACGCCGTGGTCATGCTGCGATAAATAAGATGCACAGATCGTTTATATAAGATATGATAGCTAATGAAGCATGCGCACTCGTTAGCATGGCTTTCAGGTAATGGCAAGTGATCCAAGTTCTCTAAATTGCAACTGCCGGCAACCTCAGTATAATCTGTTGGATCTAGCAATACATTGCGATCTATCCATATCGCCACGATGAGAGCATGACAATGAGTGAAAATCGCCACGATGAGAGCATGACAATGAGTGAGATATCAATGAGAAAGACACAAACTGCGATGAGAAAGGAACGGAGCTTTGAGGGTAGCTGTATCAAGATGTTTTGTAAGCTAATGAGTGGATTCTGAGACGATCAGGATGTTTCCTTTCCATAGTCCTGTTTTGGATTTCGTCTGAGCGTTGAAAGCATGTATAGGGTTACGTTACTTATCCTTTGTTAGTAGCATCATGCTATCTTTAGCAGTTCTTTACTTATAGTGCTCGATCTGAACTTTGTTGGCAGCGATCCGAATTCGCGAACCAGATTGTGAATTAAACTGAAAGTATCACCATGGCATTCATCTTAGCTTACTGAAGAGGACAAAAGAACGTTGCTTGCCTTTACTTACGAATAAAAAACACTGTAGTGTAAGCATTCTTATCCGATTATATGAGATGACCGAGATATACATGCGCATAAGCTTTGAATTCAAGAAAGTTACCATCACCTCCGCGACCAGAAGATGACACCTGACTGCTTTTACTTGGAATTCTCTAGCCGAAGTGGGAGGGGCGAAGCGTGTGCGGAAAGAA